GGGTGGGCGGGCTGGGCGGGGAGGAGGCGGGGCCGCTGCACTGGCTTCTCCCAGCCCCTCCCGGCCGCAGCCACAGTGAGCGGAGTCTCGGCCAGCTCCGGGGGGCGGGCGCTGGAGCGCAGCGCCGCGCAGCCCTATCCGACCGCCGAGCGGACTCAACTGGAAGCCGAGCGCTGCCGCGGGAGGCGGGCGACCGGGGCAGGTGCGGCGGCTGCGCCATGGACCGGCCGCGCCTGCTGCTGCTGCTGCTGCTGCTCCTGGGGGTGAGTGCTAGCTGGAGGGCAGCCCGCGCCCTCTCCCCGGACTGGAACCCCAATGGGTTCAGGTTTCCCCGAGGGAAAAGAGAACGGAGCGTTGGCGTCCCAGATGCGGGGCGGGGGGGGGAGGGGGTGGATGGCGGGAGAGGAGCTCCGCTGCCAGGATCCACGGAGGAGCGTCTAGGGTTCTCGGAGCGCAGGGGCGACCCTGAGACCAAGGGTAGAGATGCGGGGAGAGGGGCGCACGGATGCGGGTCCTCAGGTACCGCGGAGGGTGCGTATGGAGGAGCTGAGAGGCGGTCTCTCGGATGCCTGGGTTCTGAAGAGGGAGTTTAGATGCTGGGATCTCGAGGCGACTTTCCTCCTGAGCATCTTGATCTCTTGAGGGTCGTGGGACGGAAGCCAGGCTGAAGGAAGAGGAATGGGACGGGGATTAGAGATATGAGGGGCGAGCGGGGCTGGGGCGGGGAACCGGAGACAAGGAGATAGAACAATGGGGGAGGTCGGAGGGATTGGAGGCAGAGGGGTCTGGGCATCGGACAATGAGGGCCAGCCAGACAATGGGGGGGAGGGGCGTGGGAGGGGGAGCTTCGGGGAGCGGGGGTCGTCTGAAGAGAGAGAAGCGGGCTAGGGAGGGCAGGAAAAGGACGACAGCGAGGGGGAGAGAGAGAGAGATGCCGCCGAAATGAAAGAGGGCGGAGAGGGAGAGCGGACCCCGAAGTGGTCGGGGCCACGCCTGCCCGCCGCGGGACAGTGGGACGAGCAGACAGAGCAGAGGGACGGACGTTTCCCGCGCCTGCCGCGCGCCCTTTCTCGCGGCCTCGCCCAGTCTGGGAACTGCGGCTGGGGATCCGAGGCTGGGAAGGGAGCGCCCACTTCGCCGGGGCGAACCCGCTCCCTGCCTCCCCCGCGACCGGCGGGCTCCTCCGACGCGCTCATTCTCGCGGTTTGAAGGCGCGCCGGGGACCGGAAGGGATGGAGCGGGCATCGTGCGACCCGGTCCGGCCGCAGCCAAGTCTCAGGGTGCAGAGCGCCGGGACTCGCGAGGCGGGGACGGTCCGGGCGGCGCGCAGCCCGGGGTCGCGGCAGCCGAGGCGGCCCGCAGGGGGCGCTGAGAGGCGAGGGCTGTGCCACCCGCAGCTGCCGGCGCGACTGGGGCTGCGCGCCGCGCCCCCTCGCGGACCCCCCATTAAGTTAAGCCGCCCGAGCGCGGCGCCCGCAGTTCTCACGGGTCCAGCGCCCAGGCGGGTCGGGATTCCGCCTGCGCCCCCCACCCCCACCCCAACGTTCGGTGGAAGACGCCGGGCACCGAATGGGACGGAGGCGGTCGGACGCCGCGGATTCCGCCTCCGCAGGGGACTGCGGGTCCTCTTAAGCATCTAAGTCCGCCTCATAGTCCCAAGATATTCAGGAGATGTGACCTGTGTGGGCCCAGGAACGGAGTGCCGCACGGAGTTTGGCAATGAAAGAGGTGTCCCCACTCTCCCTGCCATCCTCATTTCTCCTGAGCGTTGCGTCCCCAACCCCCATTTTACGGGAAGGAAAACTGAGGCTCCGAGAGTTTAAACGACTTGGCCAAGATCCCAAAGCAAGTTAAACCAGAGCGCTGGCCAGGCTGTCCCGCACCTGATTCCCAGCGCGGTACTCCCCATACCCCGTAGGGGGGCAGCCCAGCGTCCCAGCGCGGTACGAGAGCCGCGTTTCTCGGCGGGGGGCGGGCTGGGCAGCATCCCCTGAGTCAGGCGGGCTGTGGAATGTGGGGGCTGGGGTGGGCAGAGAGCCTCTCCGGGCGCGGGCCCCATCCCCGGAGCTCAGCTCGCTGGAGCTGTCAGGACCTGTGGCTTCTCCGGAGATTTGGGAGCGACCGCGGGCACGTTCGCTGACCAACGCGGCGGGTTAGAGATGCTTCTGGACTGGGGAGGTGGGACTGGGCCGGCCCGTAGTGCGGCCCCCGGAGCGGCGAGGGACTGGGCTCCGGACCGGGGCTGGGGAGAGCGTCCCCCCAGTAGAGAAGAGGCGAGGGAAGAGGAGGGCTGCGCGCGGAGGTCCTGGGGGCTCGGGAAGGTGGACCCCGCGCAGAGCCGGCTCCCGCAGCCCCTGCGGCTCTTCCCTCCGCCTCGCCGCGGGGCTGCTGTCTGCGGGCTGGCTCTGCGCACCGCGGCGGTCCGAGTTTCTTCCTGGGCCGCGGCGGGAGAGTGCTGAAACCAGAGCGCGTCCCGGCGGCTCGGCTGGCGGGCCGCGCCGGTAATGGAGGCACTTTGTCATTCAGACGTCTGTAACCGGAGCCGCCGGGCTGGCTAATGCGCCTAATGGGGATGCAACGAGGGCCGCAAATGGGAGGACAGGAGCGGCCGGGCGAGGGAGGCGGCTCCGGGATGGAAGGGGTCCCCACCGTCCCCGTACCAGCCAGGGCCCATTCACGCGCCTAGATTCTTCCCGGGGGGGGGGGGGGGTGCTGTGCAGGGTGGGGAGGTGGGAATAATAAAATTGCCTGAGTGCCTATGATGGGCCACGCACTGCCCTGGGTAATTTCTCTTGTGTCATTTAATCCTTATAAGATCCCCGCAGAGTAAATCTAGTTATTCCCATTTTACAGTTGAGGGAGTTGAACCTCCCAGACTTTCAGGGTATGAAAGCAGGCTTCCCCCAGTCCGTGCGTGGTGGCGCCCTTGTTGGAACCCAGAATGCTTGGCTTGGAGTTTATTCTGTCCTCTGTGTCCCAGTCTCTACCACCACCCCCCCCCCGCCGCGCCCCAGCCTTCTAGATCACGGAGGGACAGGAGGACCTTAACCATCACTAGCTCTGAATATTAGATCTGTGTCCTATGTCCTTGGCGCCACAAATTTGGAACTGAGCCCCTTCCCCCCATAGTCCCCAGGCCCCTCTCAAAGTGTTCATGCAGCCTCATCCTCAGTAATTAGCTTGTCTCCTACCCCAAATTCAACCACTACCTAAAGGAGTAAAGTGCATGTGCCAGAGTCTCCCCGGGTTTGCATTGACCTCAAAAGACCCTCCACATATTCGAAGAAAACTCTCCGATGCCATGGCGGTGGCTAATGGCTCCACTCACCTAAGGAACCTCTTTGCTGAAACTGTTGTGAGTGGTTAGGGCTCATCACACTGAAGCATTCACATAGTTTCAAATTCTTTCAACCATTTTGTTGCGTTTTCTATTTTGTCCAATTTTTAAAAAATTTTAAGGTTTCTAAAAGTCAGTTCATTTAAGGGTGATTCCACCTTCGTTTTTTGAAAACCTTGAAATGGCAAAAGGATTGCAAACATTTTCGAAAATGGGATGAAATCATCCCATCAAATTGGAAATGAGTAAGTGCAATAAATGTAGATTTCAGGCACATGGGTCTATCATTTTGGTAAATTGATCATTTTGGAGCAATAAACCTGAATCCGTGTCATCCCTCCTTGCTTCCCAAGATTGCCCCGCCCTGGACCAATAGAGGGTGTGGCAGGGGCCAGGCATTAAGCCACTTAGCAGAATTGTCTCTGTGAGCCTCAGTTTCCCCAGCTATCAGAGAGGAGATGAAGGCAGTCCCTCAAGTCCTTCCGCCTCAGCATCTTGGCTTCTGGAGTAGCGGTGTGGAGTGATATCTCCTCTCCCTCATGGGACTGTGACTTCCCCGGGGGATCGGGGACCATGTGTCATTGGAAACACTTAGTTCAATGCTGAGCAAATAGTTGTCAACTAGTAAATAGGTTAATTAGTTAACTGCGAGGAGAGCAATTCCCACTCTCCTTTCCCCGTGCCCTCTTCAGACTCTTCCTGGTGGGTCTTTCTTCATGCCTCGCCTGCCCCTCCTCTAGGTAGTTTCCTCTCTTTGGGCCCAACTACTGCTCGCCCCTCCTACTGCCTCCCAGCCAGGCTCAGCAGCTCAGCCTGAGACAAGACACTTCCTTGATAACTAACATTTATTGAACTTCTACTATACACCGGACAGGCTTGCCTAAATTACTTCATGTAATTTTCATGGCAACCCTGAGCACTAAATATTACCGACCCAACGTTTTAGGTGGGAAAATGCAGGCTTAGAGAGGCTGGGAATTGCCCCAAAGTAGCAGACTGTTAGGTAGCCGGTCTGGGGTGTTTTGAAATAGGACACATAAAACGAGCACAGGAAACACATGGATGCTAATTATGTGGCCTGGAGTCCAAATGCAGGACTCGGGAGAAGAGAGAGGTAGGCAGGCTGCAGCGGGGAGAGCAGGCCTCGAGGAAGAGGGGCATGCAGAGGCCGCTCGAGTCCCAGGGACCGACCCCCTCAGCTCCCCGCAGCCCAGCTCTCTGCTGACCTCAACCAACTGGAATCCAGCCAAAAGCCACAAAAGAGGCAAGAAAGACCTTGGGAAAGAAAACAGAGGGATCCTGAAGTGTATAAACACCTTCATCATTTGATGCCTACAGCAATCTAATGAGTCAGGTACTGTCACCATTATCTAAAGATGAAGAGGCTGAGGCACAGGGAGATTTCAACCTGTCCCGGGTCACCCAGCTCTAAGCCATGAGCCAGAGCCATGGGGGCCGTGAGGAGGAAGGGAGTGTAGGTCACGCTTTTGACTCAGAGAATGGCCCCCTCCTGGTTCAGATCCTACCTACACTCACGCTGTACGCCTTCCTACGCAGGCTAGTTACATGGTTTCTACAGATTCAATTTGACCTAATGAGTTAGAATGGTAGGGGCGGGGCTGCTCAGGTCACACTCTAGTAGCAGCGAAAATTGACAACTGATACCTTGACAGGAAGCAGAGAGACAGAAACACTAAAAAAAAAAAAAAAAAAAAGAAGCTGACGGAAGAACTCTGAGACAAAAGTATGGTGATTTGGGATAAAGAACACAAAGGGCTTCACTGCACTGCCGCCCAGAATAATCAGAGTCCCTGAGTCACAGGGAAACCGTGAAGGTATGTTCTGGAATCAGAAGGATGAAGCCACCGTGGTTAAAATGGAAAGTCCGCTATCCAGAAAGTCACCCCCATCCCACATTCCCCGGCCCGGCGTTCTAGGTAATTGAGGTCGTATTGTATTTTCACCTTCTGAAATCCCATAAATATACAGGTTGGGTACCAGGCGCTGGGGCAACCACAGTCTTGCCCTCCGGGAGCTGACAGTCCAGTGGGGGACATCGCAGCGCTCAGACCAGATGAGCTCTGTAAACAAGGGGAACGTGTCACAGGGCCACTCAGCCTCATCTGGGAGGCGTGGGGGCCACAGGATCACTTCCTTGAAGAAGTGACATTTCAGCATGAATCCTCAAGGATGAAAAGAAATCCAAACAGACCCTTCTGGAATCTCGCTCTCCCTCCTAGGGGAAAGCCTGCATCTGGGAACCCCCTGCCCCCACCCCTCCCGGTTCCTGGCCTGCAGATGTTCCCAGACCTGTGTTCCTACCACCTGGGAGGAGATGGTGGCAAATACCCAAGGACCCCCCTCCTATGCTGCCCTCACCGCACCCTCCCTGCTGGTCTCCTGAGGACCACCAGCTGCCTCCTAGACTGATCCAACCTGTCCATCCCCCCCACCCCCTTCCACAAAACCCTGTTTAGACCTCAGGATATTTTAAAGGACTGGAGGGAAAGGGAGTATTTTTGGCTATGATCTCGCCAACGTGGAAGCAGAGGAATGTCCAAAAGGACCTTTAACACTCCCCTCTAGTCCCATGACCCCAGAGCCCATACTTCCTCTTGGTACCAAATGGGAGCTGCATGGTCTGAGGCCAGGGAAACAGGCTTTGGAGTTTTATTAGACGCGAAGAATTTTTTTTTTAGGAATAGAAACATAAAGCATCGGCCAGCACTCCCCCCACCCTCCCAGGGAATCTGGTGCTAAATCATTCCATCCATGAGCAAAGGGCAGAGATGCCTCGGTGGCAGGAATCTGACTCCCCTTTCCCTTGGTTCTAGCGCTATTCCCACTGGCTGCATGGGGCCAGGGAGAGGGAGAGGAGAGGGCTGGTGGCTGGAAATCCGACTCTGGATTTCTTGGAAAATCCAGAGCTGGGCTGCTGGGTGGTGAGCTGGGCTGCTGGGTGGCAAGAGATGTTCCTCATCATCGCTAACAGGCACCCCTTTCTCCCTGCTTGGTGCCAGACTCTTGCCAATTGGCCGGTTCTTTGCTCTGGCCCTGAGTGGTCTCTATCTCCGTGGGTGAGGAGAGGTGAGGACTCAGAGGGAAAGCAGAGCAGGTCAGAACTCCAGGGCAGCATCAGGATTCGAACCCAAGACCCCAGCCCTCTGCCTTCTGTTCTTGTGTACAGACACCGCTCATTGAATATTTGATATGTGGAATGGTAGAATTAAGGACCTGGAGAAGGGCCCTACTAGCCTTTGCTAGAAAAAGGCGTCCCTCTGGGTAGACAGAGCCCTGCAGCTGTGCCTCCCGCTAAGTGGCATTTGAGCCAGAGTTTAGCTTCCAGTTGCCCCCTTGGCGGGGAGCCCTGTGCTCCCCCATGGGAGCCGTAACCTGTACTGGCCAGAGGCCACCTTCCCCATGTGGTGTGTCCTCGGGATTCCAGGAGTTGCCATTAACCCCAAGATGAACTCTGTAGAATGTCAGCATCCGGGGCTCTGACCTCACACCCCCCGGCAGCCTGCAGGGGCGCCCTGTCCCCCACTGCCTTTCTTCCCCGCCAGCTTTGATGTGCCTGATGCCTCCGTGCTGAGCTCATCCCGGCCCAGGTGGTTCCAATAGAAGGCTTTGGGAGGGGGTGTTTGATCTCTTGGAAGACACCCCCTCTCACTTCTCTTGCCATTCTGACCTTCTGATCTATCCCCCCCGCCCAGGTGTCCCTCGGAAGTGCCAAGGAGGCATGTCCCACGGGCCTGTACACCCACAGCGGGGAGTGCTGCAAAGCCTGCAACCTGGGTGAGGGGGTGGCCCAGCCTTGCGGAGCCAACCAGACCGTGTGTGAGCCCTGCCTGGACAGTGAGTACAGGGGCCGCTGGGGGTGGGGCGAGGGGGGGAAGGGAGGGCTGGGAGGCGCATGCCCACTGGAAGCCTGACAAGGGCTCTGCCTCCTGGCAGGGTCTCCTGCCCACCTCTGTGTGGGCACCGGAATGGGTCCGACCCAGTATAGGAGGCGAGAAGAGAAGCTGAGAATGGTTGAGGGAAGTCAGCAGAGGGAGGAGGGGGGACCTCATGAGGAGGGATCCCCAGCGGGTGCCCCTTCCCAGCCCCCAGGTGGAGAGGCCGGGTAGAAGAATGTGGCCAGGTGGGAGGAGTAGCTGATGCTAAGACCAGCTAAAAATATCATCTGCACTGTAAAATCAATGGCTGCCACTTACCCTCAGTGTGTTTGGGGGGAGGGAAAGAGGATCAAGTCCTGGCTGCCCTGGAAACTGACCTTGGGGGATCCTGGGAGGGTGTGGCTACCCTTCCCCCCAAGGCCAGCTGTTCCCCAGCTCTGACCAAGGAAGCAGGGCTTTCCAGAGGTAGCAGGAGTGGGGGCAGTCCTCACTGTGGGGTGGTGTCAGAGGGGAGAGGGGCCTGTCCTACCTGGGATTTCCTCAGGAAGGGGAGAGAACCCCATCTTCTGGGGCTGCTGCTAGGGGATTCAGAAGGATGGCAGGTCTGGGGACTGAATTCTGTGTGCTTTTCACCCAGGACTCTCTATCCCTGCTGGATGCCCCCAGCCTCAGTTGCTGCCTTCAGGCCACGGGCTCAGTGCTCTTTTCCTGCCCAGAAACCTTTCCTCCCTGCCTGGAGTCACATCCTGCCTTCTACCTGGCACGCACTGCCTACCTGGAGGGCCGGTGGGAACCATACCAGATTCTTCTTTAATCATGATAGGAACAAGGGCATAGGAACTGGGAACTCTTTTTTTTTTTTTTTAAGATTTATTTATTTATTTGAGAGAGAGAGAGAGAGAACATGGGGGCGGGTAGAGGAAGAGAGAGAGAGAATCCTAAACAGACTCCCCGCTGAGCGCAGAGCCCGATGCGGGGCTCGATCCCACAACCCTGAGATCATGACCCGAGCAGAAACCAAGAGTCCTACGCTTAACCAACTGAGCCACCCGTGTGTCCCAGGAACTGGGAACTCTGAACCCAACTGCCTAGACTGACCTCTGGATTCCTCTCTACCGCCCTCCCCCCCACCCCCCACAGCCTATCTACCAGACAACCCCAGCTCCTTGGTGTTCCCAGACACACAGTTTTCCTCTCTCTGTGCCTGTGGATCCTGTAATTCCATCCCGCAGCAGGAAAGGCCTGGGCCTAGATGGCGAGGCTAGAAGGACATCCTGTAATGCCTTTGCCACCTTGCCATCTGGCCACCTGCCCTGGCCTACCAGGGTTTCCTTCCCAGCAGGGTTGGCCAATCATCGGCTATGCTGGAACCTCCCGAGTTTGCCTCTCTCATTTCCTAGACTCCTGCCTAGGTCCTCTCTGGCCTGGACCCTAAGTGTCCCAGGATGGGTACTCACTCCCTTCTTTTTTTTTTTTTTTTTAAAGATTTTATTTATTT